GAGCAGCGCATCGAAGAGCTCGAGTCTACCGTCGACAAGCTGGACCCCGAAGCTCCTACCAAGATTGCTAAGCGTGACGACGAGATCACTTGGTTGCGCGAGCTTCTTGCCGTGAGACACGGCGATTTGCAAGATATCATCCTTGCCGTCTCTGCCGAAGACTTTGACAGGGAAGCCGTCAAGGATGCGTCCATCCGTCTCAAGGCCAACCTTCAAATGGAGGAACAGGAACGCGAGCGTGCGATGAATGGCGGATCAGCAATCAATCTGCCCAACATTGCACAGTCACTTCGGGAGGCTGCATCGCCTCGTGTTGCTCAAGCTGTAGGACCCCTGGCTGCGGCCTGGGGTAACTGGCGCAAGTCGCAACAGCCCATCTTCGCATCGGGCGGACGAAGCGGTAGGCCCTCTACGGCCCGTCCTGCTGTCAATAGCAACCACACCCCGTCCCGATCTACCACGTCGGCCTCTTTCAGCAACAACCACAACGGACTGATGACCCCGCCGGCTTCTGGTCTCCGTCAGACCCCTACTTCGAACGCTACGCACGCTGAGGAACCTCAACCAACGGCGTTCCAGACCACAGGACGTCGGTACACGGCTCAGCAACTACAGGCCAGGAACCGAGGACCGTCCATCACGGAGGTGCCATCCGAGCCGATGCCCCTCAAGAGCCCGCCCGCTCGCCGTCCGTCGAGCCGTTCTCAACAGCCCATGACTCCTCCGATGATGCGGTCAAGCGGCTACGACTCAGATGCTCATCCAGGCGACTTTGACGACACTGACTTCTTTGAAGACTAAGAAGGAGCAGTGATGAGTGGAAGGAAACGTGGGACCGTGGAGGATTTCCTTTGTCTTTCGCGCCGCAGTCAATCTTTCTCTCTCTCTGTCTCTATCACGCAGCATGCTTTTGAGCCCAAAAGAATGGACACACTAGAATGATGATACCCCCTTTTTCGCAAGACTACTTCTACTACATTACAATCCACTGAGGGTATTGGAGGAGGATTTTCATATACAAACACTCAGAATCGTGGATTTTACCTTCTTGTAATCACACCTCACGGGGGAGGGGGTAATATCTCCTCTCCAATGGGGAATGAGGATGAGAGGGCTAAATTTTAATTTCCTTTGTTTTTTCTGTTTTCGGTCCGATGCATAGCGGGAGAGAAAATGACGATGAAATGGAGAAGGGAGGGTTGAAGGGCTTGAAGTATGGCGTGTTGGCTTGCTGGGTCTATCTATGGGCTTGGCTTGCTTCTACCTCTTACTTGGCCTGGTTATGTTTACTGCAGCCCAACCCCTCTTTACTTACCTATTACACTACACACCGAAGAAGTATATAGTAATAATTCGCACGCCTGATTTGGCTTATCAATCTTGATCATTGGAATATTTTTATTACCGGGACTTGTCGTGATCAAGGGTCAGTATGGCGAAATGCTCGTGGCTAACCACGGACTGCACAAATGTATTTTCATGGGACCTGGGAGATAACTAAGGTAGGCATATCGCATGGAGACTATCAGAACACTTGATTTTTGTCGGGGTATCATTGGTTCTCGCCATGGAAACCCCGATTAAATTTGATTTCATTTCATCTCATTTCATATTAAAAGGTGATTTATACATGTATACACCCAAGAGGCAACTTCCATTCTCTCTCCCTCTATAGCCTTCTTCAACCCCCAAGCACAGAGAAAGCGAAACCTTACGAACTGCTCAGGAGCTTCTCAACCGCCCACTTTACGGAAAAGTTGCGCAGGTCAGAGTAATGCTGACCGACGCCGACAAAGAGCACGGGGACGTTTGTGGCGTGGACGAGACTGACGAGGGTGCCGACCATGTTGCCGACGGTGTCGCACTTGGAAATGATGAAGCCGTCGAGGGTACGGACGGAGCCGAAGGCCGCGTTGAAGTTGCGGGCTTGGGCTACCGAGTCTGTGCCGACGAGGGCCTTGGGGGAGGACGTCAGTTTTTTGTTTGGCTATAGATGTGAGAGGGAGGGGGGGGGGGGGAGTCTTACCTCGCCGACCATGAGAATCTTATCGGGCTGAGCAAACTTGGCAAACTTCTCCAGGGAGGACATGAGACGCTGGTCATTGTGTCTGCGGCCGGCGGTGTCGATGAGGACGACGTCGAAGCCGTCCTGCGCGGCGTGAGCCACGGCGTCGCGAGCGACGGTGGCGGCGTCCTTGCCGTAGCCCTTTTGGTACAGCTCGACGCGGCCGCCCTCACGGACGGTAAGCTCCTTGAGGTTGCGGACGTGTACGGCGAGCTGCTCGACAGCGCCGGAGCGGAAGGTGTCGCCGGCGGCGATGAGGACCTTGTACTTGTTCTGCAGGAGGAAGAAGCAAATCTTGGACAAGTTGGTGGACTTGCCGACGCCGTTGACGCCGACGATGGAGATGACGTAGGGGCGGGCCTTGCGAAGGGAGGTCGAGGGCGGGGCGGTGATGGCGTCGATCTCGCGGAGGAGGTCGAGGGAGGAGGTCGGGGTGAGCATCTTTGTGAGGGAGGCTTCCATGGCGGCTTGGATCTTTGCGTTGATGCTCTCGAAGCTGGCCGTCTTGGCGCCGAGGAGCTCCTTTTCGACGCCCTCGCAGAGCCGTACCGCGGCTTCCCGCGCGACGTTCTTCTTTAGGAGGTGCTCTTCCATACCCTTCATCGCCTTGTCGAGATCCGCCTTGGAGAGCGTTTTGCCGCCGACAACATTGCGGAAGAGGCCTCCGATCGTGCTCAGGCCGGACCCGATAAGCCCGCCCGATGCCTCCGTCTTGTTGGAAGAGTCGTTCTTTGCCTGCGCCGAGGCGAGGATGTTGTGCACCTCGTCGTCTAGGTCCTTCAGCACGAATTGACCCTTTGACGTTTTGGACCCCCATGTCGTGTGATCGACGTGCTCGACGGCGGAGGAGCGGGCGGTCGTCTCGGCTTCCGAGTCGCTCGTCGCCGACTTCGGAGCAGCCGAGTAGTCGAGAACCACGTCGTCCTCCTCGTCGGCCATGCCATCTGCGTCCCATTTGCGACCCTTCTTCGTTGATGATCTCGTCGCGGGCTTGGGTCTTCTGCCGGCGGACTCGTCGCCAGAAGAAAGGGGCGCAGAGTTGCCTGCCTTGCGCGCGCGTCGCGACATCTTGGCGACGGGGCCGGCCTTGCCTACTAATACGCCACCGGTGCCGGGAGTCGAGGGTCGAGAGGTCGTGGGCGTCGCGATGGGGGTCGAGTCGTTGGAGGTTTCGTTTGCGCTATTCAGACCGCGACCTGGGAGGGGGTTTATTAGCTGCTTGCACACTGATACACCTTCACGGCGCATTCGGCTTACCCCTATAGTGCAGACCCGGAGGGAGGGGAGGGTCATCGCCGAGGTTTCCAGACAGTGTCTTCTCCTCCTTTGCGAAGTCGGCTTCTGAGACGTTGGAGTCGCCCTTTGCTCCCGTTGTCTCCAGCTCTCTGACCTGCTGGTCAAAGTACTCGTCGAACTTATGACATTCGACCACTGTCGTGTGCGGCTTCGTCAATTGCTCTCCGTACAGATCTACAAAGATCGTCTTGATGTTGTCGACGAGCTTGTCAATCCATGACAGGTGAAGTAGTGATCTGTAAACAGCCTGTTCGCAAACCTCGTTAGTACCATGGCTTGGAAAGGTGCGGCGCATCAGCTGTTGTTGGGTTTCCATACCACAAAGATGACACCTAGCTCCTTTACAAACGTATACCGTAATGTGTGCTGGTCGCGCTTGTATGGGGGGTTGCTGGCCGCGGACTGGCTGGAGGCAGCGCCGCCCTTCTCCTCGATGAAGACATCGGCAATGAAGTTGTTGATGACGGACGGGTTGACCGGCGCATAGGTTCTGGACCAGAGGACCACCCCTGAGGTGGTTAGAATCTCGAACGTGTCCAACATTGTGTGTGAGATTCCGGCTTCGTGATTTGCGGCGACAGCAAAGATCGTGGAGACTCGGGGACCAGTGGAAGAGGAAAGAGGGTGAGAGTTGAGTTGGAGGCGACTTCCTCGATCCCAAAAGCTGGCCTGTGGCGCAAGACCCGTGGTCAATGAAGTGGGCTGGCCGCTCCTTTGGGCCCTTGGAGTGGGTGAACCCTTGGCCTTGGGGTACCCTTTCTTATCGATAAGCTCTGGGGATGTACCTAGGAAGATCACACTGTATGAGCACTGTATCTTCAATAGTTGAGATGGCGGCCTACACAGTACGGATTGAGAGCTTGCTCCTATTCTATGGTTGAGTTGCTTCCTTGGAGTACACCAATGAAAATTGAAGGTAACTCCAGTTAAGGTATGCGTCTTTGCTTCCTCAGCGAGTCTTGCCTCTAGTCGTAGTCGTTATATCAACTCGTTGTATCAATTCGTCATAGCCTCTCTTTGCACCTGTAAACAGATACCCAATCGACCCTCCAACGGCAGATTTAGCTCAATGGCGTGAACATGGAGATACGATACTTGGTGAAATGAGACTCTCTAAGACGGCTTCCGTACCACGAATAAGAAAACATGTCCTATGAAAGATACTAATTTCCGTACATCCTTACAAGAACATGCCTCGAGAAGCCTAAAAAGCGATGCTAATCAAGGTATTAGTAATATCTCTAAGGTAGGTAAGAAAGGAGAGTCGTTGATCGATATACGCCCATGCGAGCCATCGACAGCTGGTGGCCGGCCGGCACCAGGCCCTCTAGCGGCTCATAAAGGCCCGCGAGAGGGCTCGTGCTGAGCTGGCCAAAAAGAACTCGGAGCTAAGCCCCTTTGGACCACGGCTATCTGTCCTGCTCATCTGGACAATGTGGGACATCTATGGAAGTAAACACCTTTCCGTACCAGCTCCATCACGGCCCGCCAAAGACGACGTGGACTCAGAGAACCTGGAAGGGAGGCATCCCAACACCCACGCCGCCGTCGAATCCAACATAGCTTCGCAATCTTCCGACAAACCCCATCGAACGATATTCACGAACAGAAGACGAAACCACGAACTCATTTGCACATCATGCAGCGGCCACAAACTTACGGGCAGTCGCCCCCCTTGCACCACCCCGTACCCCAGCATGTCTCTACGGTTCCTCAGTTGCGCTCGCCCCCTCCTCCCGTGTCGCAATCGCAATCGCAACAAGGCTACGGTGGCAGTCCCTACCAACAGCAAGGCGGTACGAGTGGGAATGTATTCGGCGCATACGGACAGTTCATGAATGATCCCACGGCGCAAGTGGCAGCGCAGTTTGGCCAGACGGCTTTCAAGCATGGCCAGGAGTACATGGAGCAAAACGTACGTCAAGTCTAGGGACGGGGAGGCAAACCTCTAAGCATCTCACCGGTCAACTGTCGAGATGCATCAAGTTTCTTCTGAAGCTAACCCTGCTTGAAGTTCAACCGATACGTTAACGTCAACGCCCTGAAGCACTACTTCAACGTTTCCAACTCCTACGTCATCAACAAAATAGTCCTCGTCCTCTTCCCTTGGAGGCACAAGCCATGGTCGCGCAAGCAGTCCGTCGGGCCTAGCGGACAGGAAGGATGGTACCTCCCTCCGCGAGACGACATCAATAGTCCCGATATGTACATTCCCGTCATGGCTGTCGTGACGTACATCCTTCTCTCTACGCTCCTTGCTGGTCTCCGCGGCCAGTTCCAGCCAGAACTTCTCGGATACACAGCGTCAACGGCCCTAGTAATAGTCATGGCAGAGATCCTCGGTCTCAAGCTGGGCTGCTACTTGTTGGGCATCTCGAACGATTCGCAGCTTTACGATCTGATCGCATACTCGGGCTACAAGTTTGTCGGCATCATCGTCACCGTAACCGTAGCCGAGATTCTGAACGGTGGCAAGGGTACCGGCGGGTGGATTGGCTGGGGCGTGTTCCTTTACACTTTCCTGGCCAACTCGCTGTTCTTGGTATGTCCTCATACAAGTCGTCGCGTGATATAAGAGATTAACATTTCCGTTAGATGCGTTCGCTCAAGTACGTTCTGCTCCCTGAAAACGCAGCCAACGGTGCCGGCCCTATGCAGACTGGCGATTCCCGAGCCAAGCGAAACCAGAGGACTCAGTTCCTCTTCTTCTACTCCTACATTGTCCAGCTGCTTTTTATGTGGATCCTGTCGAGGCCTTGAACCACCATCACGGCACTTCAAGTTCACGCCAAAGCACCAATCTATAGAAAAGGTCAACATGAAAAAGGAGTTGGAGAGCAGCTGGGGATGCGCTTGCTCGGTGGTCAGACACAAGGAAGGGATGGTCGGTTGAAATCAGTTTTTGTGATGTGCGAATTTATCGGACAGTCATAGATGAATTGTACGATACAATAACGACGCGTCGTCCTAGCCGCTTGCGTTGTTTGTTGTGTAGAGTCCCTACCATGTTGGGGGGCTAGGTATACAGTATCCGAAGATGAAGAAGCTCTATCCCTGTACTATAAGACTGGTCGGAGCTTGTCACAAGGGGCAATTCACGAGCACGAGTTGAGACGATGAAGGGGACGCGAATCAAAACAAACGTTAGAAACCTGTATTGTAGTACCTACCTACCAATGCATTGAATATTACGGCAAAACATCATGCAAGCTCTTTGCTGCCTGTGTGTCATACACCCAATAAGGTTGCGCTAGTAAGCGCGTTGCAGTCCTCTGCAGCGAATCAACTTTGCTGACGTTCATAAAGATGGCAGCCTTTCTAGGCATTTTTCCCCAAATATGGTCGACCTCTTATGAGGTACAATAGCTATGCTCAAGCCCAATGAGACTCGCTTTTGTTGACCTTGGTGCTTGTTGCCTATTGTGCCTGGAACCATGTAAGTGAGCAGCCATGTCGTCTAGCCTATTGGAGCTCTAGCTTGCTTTGAAGGGACAGCTGTCAGGAGACCCACAAATCAGATATGTCATCAGTGATTCGCCGGTCCGAACTTGGACTGTTGGAGACCGGCCACCTCCACAAGCCGGGGTCGCTCCTCCCTCCACAGCCTATGAACCCCCGCCAAACTTTCAACCATCCGGCCCTGCATCCCGTCAAGCCTCAACCTCTGCCGATTACAAATGCTTCTACTCGGAAGGGTAATTGAACAGATTGCAACTCACATTTGACTCGCGTTCCTCACGCAGTGTCGCATATAAGTTTCGACGTCTCTAGGCACCTGTTTCGCATCAAGGACGTCATCCGTTCTTATCTCCATCCTTCTCTGCCTCCCGTCACCTTGGTTTAAAGACATCTCTCAAGAGTGCACTTGCCGTGGTTTACCCGGTACAACGGTCTGCATTGCTCATCTAGACTCATAACTTCATTTCACGTCTTCAGCAAATCAAAGTCAAGCTTGCGTACTTACAAGTCACCATCATGGCGCTGCCTCCCATCGTCACTGCAACTCTGCAGTCAGCTGCCCTCAGTGGCACTTCAAACATACTGGCCCAGGTCCTGACGGCCTACCAGACCGATGTATGAATTTCCGAGGCTCGTGGACTCTGTAATGGGTTTCGCCATCATATATCATGGCGTTGTTTGACCATCACTCGAGACCTTCGTGCTAACATTGTGACCAGAAACAACTCGTCTTCGACTGGGTCCCCGTCTTCCAGTTCATTATCTTCACCCTCCTCAGCACACCGCCAAACTTCTTGTGGTGGGTCTCCCAGCGAGCACTTGTCTTTCACCATCGCGGATCCCTCTTCTACCTGCATGCACGATACGCGTCGTACCCTAGACCGTCGTCACTGACACATACCAGGCAAGGTTTCCTCGAAGAGAGCTTCCCGGCCTACCACGTCTCGCCCACCAAGAAGGCCATCGCCTCGGCCGCGGCCAACGACGACAAAGCGCTCGACCGCGAGGCGCGCGAGGACCAGCTCGTGGAGCCCAAGCTCAACATCCGCAACACGCTCATCAAGCTCGTCCTCGACCAGACCGTCGGCGCCGCGCTCAACACGCTCGCTTTCAGCATGTTCATGCACAGCATCCAGACGGCGATGGTGCGCCCGGAGCACCTCGCGGCCGCGCAGCACTCGGGCACGTTTTTGTTTTCGCGGGGCGCCATCGACTATAGTAATGTTGACTGGCAGTCCGTCGTCCACAAGAGCCAGCTCGAGTTCGTGCCCATCTTCATCGCTGGCCTGAAGTTGTGGCCCATGGTCAGTCTGGTGAACTTCGCCTTCATCAAGAGCATTGAGGGTAGAAACTTGGTTGGTTCTCTTGCGGGTGTCGCTTGGGGTATTTACATGAGTCTGGTTGCTGCGCGATAAAGGGGGCAACAGCGGTGTAAACCCACATCGCGGTAGGACCTCCGTACTTCGGCGATGCGAAGAAACTAATCATTAGACGGGGTTAAGATGGTTGCCCTTGGGCTGATATCACGTTTTCACATTTTGGAGGAAGCGAGCGACTGGGACACAGCAAAGGGCAGTTGGGCAGGGGGAAACAAGGCGCATAGCGAGACAGCGGACGGCTTCCAAGGCTCGCTTAGACGAAGTGGTACGAAAGGGACGAGAGCATCGAGAGGAACGCATCCAGGTTCGCCGTGGTATTATAGTCTTAGACACTTGGAGTGCCAGCAGGAATGAGTTGATTGGACACGCTTGATTTTAGCTACAGATCCTAGCTATTCTATTGGCGGTTGTGATGACAACGACATTGTTCAATCTTTGACCATCCACTAAAGTGACCTCCTTGAATCTAGTTGTAAAGACAATGGGATTTCAAATCTGATGCCGCGCGTGCCTTGTCCACATTCTTGTAGAATGCTCGCCGCCAGGCAGTCTCACCTTCGAAAGATGGGAAGCTTGCAATATAGGTAGGTACGGGCTTCGAGTGACCAGCATCACAAATCTTGAGAATACAGTCTTCAACAAACAGGTCCAGTAAAGGACCGTTAATCTCACCTACATTCTTTTGGAATTTGCTTTTTTGGTGGCTGGCTGAAGGGCCAAAGCGGGGTTGTTATTTGGCTATTACACGGTGAGAAAGCGCCGCATGGCGTAATGACGTTGAAGGTCTCATAAAGTAAGACACTCGGCTGCTATCCGTGCAACATCGTGTTCGCGTAGTGCACTATTACAGACGGATCGCAATGGTTTAACGATGGAAAGCGACGAGGATCTGTGTCTCTCCACCAGTTGGCCTTTTCGGTGAAGTATTCCCACCTTAGCAAAAGCTCGGCTTCCAAACCCCCCAAACTACACAAAGTCAGCTCGGCCGAGGGGGGGTTGTGGAGCGTCTTTAATTTAGGTGCATTGCCGATCGGATTTCTAGGTATGCGACTTTCTGTATCGTGTAGTACAGAGACTCCGTATCCGTACAGCGTACCCATCTCCTGGAATCTGCAAGTCCCAACCGACTGGTCTATGGTCACTGGTATGGTCTTGTCTGGTGATTTTGCTCCGGAGCTTTCTCCTGTGACGACCATTTGAGAGGTTTTCATTGGCTCACTCGTAACGACGTTGGCAAGTGGCCTCTGATTGGCCGAACGGCAAGTAATCCGTGCCTTCCACTCCGGGAACGAGGATGATGCCGTCTGGAAGCGATGTGACGTCAGGGTTAACGCAGAGGTCAACCCCCCCCCCCCCCCAAATCTGCGCTTACATCATGTGCATGTCGGGAGCGCGGGAAGGGACGATCTGGCAACCACCAGCAGCGAGCAGCCGCCAGGGCCGAAAACTCTCTTTCTCTTCAGCCTTCAGGAACAGGATAGATATTTAAAAGGCGTGGTGTTAGGCCAGGAAAAGGGGGGAAAGAAGTAAACAAACAGCTAGGTATGAATCGGATGGAGTCTCGGAAACTAGCGACGTTGGCTTTTTGATGGTTGCAATTGAGGTGGGAAATGTGGCCCGGATGGGGGAAGGAAGGTGGCTGCGTTGGTGGTATTGGGGGTTGAGGACGCTGGTTGTTATTGGCGACTCCACGTGTGAAAGTCGGGATGACGTGGGGCTATAACGTCACTGGCAAATGAGCGAGCTGAACTATCTTTTTGATGCCTATTACCGCTCAATGCGCGCCTTCTCAACAGGTCGGTACCTTAGCTAAGGTATGTCAGAAAATGGAGGGGTCAACCTTCCACCAGAACCTCTAAAGCTCTGTTTATCGAGATGGAAGGTCTCAAGATGCAGACACGGCTGGGGCCAAGTGGAATGGTTGGAAGGCGCCATATCCGTAAAAGAAGACGGAGAAGAAGACGATCCGATTTAGCACGGGTTGACAGGTCTTGTAGCGTCGAATCCAGGTCTCCATCGAAGCTTTTAGTGCAGTACTGAAGAGACGGTCCAGGGAGGCACGATGCAACCCTGGCTGCTCATGATTGGTTGCCGCGTCGTGAATTCCATTTGCGAACCAGGTGGAATCGTGGGGCCTCTTTTTCTCTCTCTTCCTCGGGGAAGGAAGTCGACCTTCGGAGAGTGTTGGGCATTCCCACTTTTTGCCTGCCCCTGCCCGCCCCCCGTTCCATGCTGCCCTGGTTGGTGCCTCTTTTTTTCTCAATTTTCTCATTCTTCTATTGCATTTGCTGCTGCTGCTGCTTCCCTGGCAGATGCAGACGTACGGATACATATGCGGACGACATGGTCTTTTTTGGCCCAATTCAGAACCTTTGCGATCGGATACCACGCTCGAGGTGACACTCTGGGAGTTGATCTCTTCTAAAATTGGTCTTCGGGGGCCGGATGATGGATCCCCCAATCTCACCCAATATCACTAAACCATCGGCATCTTGTCCCATCCATGCATCCTACCTACCGTAAGGTAATTGGTAAAGTAAATTGGCACGCTGGAATACCGGAGCAGATTGGAATATTGGACTACTTCTTGACCGCCTTCACGGGGCTCTCTCCCCACCCCAATCAACATCATGCCGTGCCGTAGCGTAGGAGGGGAGGAGCGACAAGTTGTCCAATACCGTGAGTGCGAGGGCTAAGACGCACAACTCAAAAGGGCATGGGACGGAAGCACTAAGGAATAAGCCATACTAAATCATTCTTTCTTTGCCGCCGCCTACAACCTATTAGTGCACCTTCCACTTCTGCCCCCCTTATCGTCCAGGACTCTCTATTCAGCCATACTCCGTACTTACCTTACATTACTTGCAGGTAGACTCTACGGATACGGATAATAAGTGCACAGTAGACTCGAAAGACTCGCGTGCCGGGGTCACGATACCTTGGCAGGAAGAAGCCTTCGTCATCGGATTCCGTTCCGCGTCCCCCCCGTCCCTTGTCTTTCCGCCTTTCCACCGCCCAGCCCTGGGATGCCGCTCTTCTAAACCTTACCTCCTTGCCAGCGTGACCTTGACTGCCCGGATAGGCACTTTTCGTTTCCTCTCGCTTCCTCTCACAAACCCACCTCCACCATCTGGCATCACCAGCTTGTCAATCTCGCGACAACCAAAAATCACCTACTCTGTCCAGCTCCAGGTCAGCCCGAGGCCACTCCGTGAGGACAAAGGAGAGCCTGACCTGGTGTTGGCACCAAGAACCCAAGTCTGCTATTTTCCGAGAGACCGCCATCTGCATAGCAAGCCACATTGCGACGTCCGTTGTTCAGCCCCCCTCCGACACTAAACCCCGGTCAACAATTGGAAAGGGTCGTCACATCATCCACCAGTGATCATCCTCCTCTCACCATCCGTTCTGACCTGCCAGCGTGCCCGTCTACCCATCCCATCTTGCCTCTCCTTCACCTTGGGACACCTTCTTTCCAAGGTAACTTCTACCGCGCATCTTAGCCTGCACGTCGAATCAAGGCTTCTTCCCTACGCTTGCGGATCCCAGTTTTGGACCAATTCACTGCCAGCGACCCGAAAATCGGCCAAGGTCCGATGCGAGATACCCACCGCTGCAGATTTACACATCCTCCGGGACAACGCATTCACGGCGAACATCCCGCGACCTCCATCTAACAAGCTTGGTTGGAAATTGGGGGTCCTGCTGAATCCCATCAAGACGACTCTACCAGCAACCAACCAATCTTCAACTTGGTGGCCCGCTCACCACGGACTGGGTGTGCCGCCGCGTGCGCTCAACTCCACCCGGCAAGCAGAATCGCAACTTCCGAGCTCAACCACCCTCGCCTGCCTCATCCACTTTGGGCCACGATTGCACACATTACAACCCCGGCTCGCTTCTGCCGCCTTTTCTCTGCTTTCCCACTTGCGCCTGCGCCTTTCTCGCATCTCCTTCTCCTGCATCAAAAACCCGCCCATCAGCCTCACCTCACCTCGCTCAGGGCCACATCGCGCGCGGGCACTTTGCCGATCCAGGCTCTATCTTCACCGGCGGGACCGACGGCATCTTTCACCAACCAGCCGCAAATCAGAGAGGAGGAACAGCGCCAAAAAAGAGTTGAGCATCTGGCCTGGCTGCAAAACCTCTTCTCTTTCTAGGCCAAGATTGGTTGAGAATGAGAGAGAAAGCAGATACTGACAACGAGACCTGCCGATCCCTTGGCTGAGCGGACGACTCATACCCTGCCCGCAGCCATGCATCCTCCCCCGCTCCTCGGTGTGGGCGTTGTTGATCTGCTCGAGTCCGACCCCCGACCGAGCTTCGTTGTTGCGCTACCAACTTCATTCAAGGACCCCGCGCTTGCCGAGGTTGTCTACAGCAATCCGGCTCTGGCGAGCAAGCCTGCCCTTTTCGAGGTCCTAGGATCACTATCAAGCCGCGACCACACGAGATTCTGGGACTGGATCACTGCCCAAGACGCCAACCCACCACAATCCTTTTTGTATAACAACCACTTTTGGACTCGGAACACCTTGCTTTCCAGATGGGTTGTTGTGAGCTCCAACGATTTCCCAATCTCCTCAGAACCTCCGAGAAAGATTCGCCTGGATGGTTCGAGAGGCAGAGAATCTAGCAGCGGTATCTTGCATCCGCATACTTCAACCGTGCCCTCAGTGCCTTCGGTAGAGTCGTCCGCAGAAGACTTGTCCTATCCCCGGATAGTTCGAGCAACCACCGAGCCGCCTATAGTCCTACCGGATTTTATGCCAGACCAAGAGCCTTTTCTCGATATGGTTGATAGCGTTGACTGGAGCGCGACTCCCCTGGGTGCTATGGACCGGTGGCCATCGCTGCTTCACCAGTCTTATAGCCAGATTTTATGCAACTCTCAGCCAACAGCAATCTACTGGGGCAAGAAGCTCACAACAGTCTACAATGAGGCTTATGGAGAGATGATAGGGGCAAGACACCCCAACCTTATGGGCCATTCTGTGACTGAAGTTTTCCCTGAAATCACTGATCAGCTCAGAGATATGATGGAAAATCCCGGACAAAGTCGTCGCGCGAGCAACGAAGAGGCATTCCGCTTTTTCCTCGAAAGACCCGAAGGATCACCCCTCGAGACGTACCTAAAGTGGTCGATCGTACCGGTCATGCAGAACGGCGAATGTCTTGGCTTCATCCACTTGATATCGGACACGACTCTATACCACCTTTTCCGTCGGCGAATTCAGATGCTCGTCAACATGGGCGAGGAGCTCGTCACAGCCAAGGACGTTAAATCCTATTGGAGCAAGCTGATCGAAGAGCTCTCCGAATGCGATCCCGCTTACGATATACCCCTGGCGATGCTCTACTCGATTGAGTGTGATGGTTCGTCACATGCTGGAAGCGAGTCGCGGCACGATTGTAATCATGTTTGTCGTCTCGAGGGCGCGCTAGGTGTCCCAGAAAACCATCCCATCATGCCCGAGACCCTGCGACTGAAAGACACCGATGCTGGTCTGGCGCCACAGTACCGAGCTGCTCTGCGCAGCCACGAGCCGCTGATTATCAGCACATCAGACGGCAGTCTGCCCCAAGAATTACTGACTGGCCTGCAGTGGCGTGGATTTGGCGATCCCTGCGAAGCTGCTATTGTCTTGCCCATTAGACCCACAAAGGAGGAGGAAGTCATGGGACTGCTTGTGCTGGGCCTCAACCCCCGACGACCTTACGACGATGCATATACTCTCTACATCCAGTTGCTAGCCCAGAAGCTTACGACATCTCTGGCTTGCACGGTCTTGTTAGAGGAGGAGCGACGTCGAGGAAGGAATGCTGCCGAGCAGGCTGCATACGATCAGGCCATGCTGAAAGAAAAGCTCGCCTACCAGACTAAGGAAGCCACAGAGTACACACGGCTATTCCAGACAGTTTCGGACTTCATTCCCAACGGATTCTCCCTTGGGGATCATCAAGGGAACATAACATTCGCAAACGGCCTGTGGTACCGCATAACAGGACATCCTGATGAAGGCGGTTCTTTCTCTTGCGTGTTGGAGGCAGACCGAGAAAAGATTCGCGAGGCATACAAAGAACTGCAGACCAAGGATGAAGTCGAATTTGAGTTCCGCGTCAAAGGAACGGAACACACCAACCGCATGCTAGCAAGGAGATCGCCCTTCAAAGCCGACGTATACAGCGATCTTGACGAGGATCTAGAACGTTTTGTAATGGCTCAGGCAAAGGCTGAACGAGCGACTGACGGAACCATCATTCGGACTTTCACTTGCCTGACAGATGTCACCGCACACAAAAGGACGGCCGACGAAGCCACCAGGAGGGCTCAACAGGCAGAGAATCTGAAGAGGATGGCTGAGCTTGCCACAGTTGGTATGTTCGATATGGACACCGGAGGACGTCTGCTCGGGGCAAACAACGTATTTTTCGAGTTATCTGGGATAGAGAAGGTGGACCTTTTGCAACACGAAGTACGGCCATGGGAAGTCTCGGTTGTACAAGACGACATTCAGACTCTGAGCGAGAGCGTTGCGCGACTCGTAGCGACGAAAAAGCCCCAGTCAGCTGAGATACGCCTCAAGACCACATGGACAGCAGAGGATGCTGGAGGGAACCAGATCACAGCGCCCAGATGGGTACACATCACCCTGATGCCAGTATGCAATTCAGATGGCATCGTTCAGTCGTTTACTGGCTGTGTCAGCGACGTCTCATTGCAAAAGTGGCAACTGGAATTGGAAACTCAACGCACCGAGGAGGCAATCGACTCGAAACGGCAACAGGATAACTTCATCGACATGACTTCCCACGAGATGCGAAACCCGCTCAGCGCCATCGTTCACTGTTCAGACGCCATCATTGCCTCCCTTGCGCGATGCGAGGAGCTTGTCGACCGGCCTCCTACTCCGAAGGCAGCTAAATCTGATGAAGAAGGCACTGACAAACACTTTGATATCAAGCAGCTTCTTTCGGACAGTATCGAGAATGCGGAGACGATTGTTGCCTGCGCACAGCATCAGAAGCGGATTGTGGACGACATCTTGACAATGTCCAAGTTGGACTCTAAGCTCCTAGCCGTCACTCCCTGCACGGTCAATCCCGTTCAGATTGGCGAGGAGGCTATCAAGATGTTCGACGTAGAGGCTCGTCGTGTTGATATTGACCTCAAGATGACTGTGGATAAATCGTATCGGGAGCTGGGTCACGTTTATCTTGATCTTGATCCCTCCCGCGTCAAACAGGTCCTCATCAACTTACTTACAAACGCTCTCAAGTTCACAAAGTCTGGATCAATCAGGAATGTGTCCGTCTGCATGAAGGCATCGCGACAACGGCCGACGGACGAGACGGCACCGGTCACCTTCATTCCCCGATCCTGCAAAGAAGAGTCAGAGTACGAGCAGCCTGCTCTCAACAATCGCAGAGACCCAGTCTACATCATGTTCGAAGTCAAGGACACCGGTCAGGGTCTCTCAGAAGATGAAAAGTCAAATCTCTTCAATAGGTTCGTGCAAGCGAGCTCGCGGACTCATGTCAAATACGGTGGAAGCGGATTGGGGCTATTCATCTCGCGGCGCTTGACAGAGTTGCAAAAGGGTGCTATCGGTGTGTCCAGCTTGCCAGGGGTGGGGTCCACGTTTGCATTCTTCATCGAGGCATACGTGCCAACAGAGTCGTCGCGGAGGGAAGCCGAATCTGCGGCTGCGGCTGTGAGAATGACGACTCTGGCTACTGCTGCATCAAGCACGCCATCCACGATGCCGCGGATTAGAGCCCCCACAAACGACCAGAAGGCACCTGGCTCGCGACCGAAACCTAAGAGCTACGACCCCCGGCTGGATGGGATTCTTGTCGTGGAGGACAACCTAATCAATCAGCAAATAACCCGTCGCGGCTTGCAGGATAGGGGGTTCACTGTCGACGTGGCCAATCACGGAATCGAGGCTCTAGAACGACTCATGCAGTCCATGTCCCTGCAGAAGCAAGATGACCCAGAGTACTTTACTCACAGCAACTCGAGTCCTCAGGGGCCTGCCGTATCGATCAACCTTATCCTCATGGACATAGAGATGCCAGTGCAGGACGGGTTGACATGCACGCGGCGAATCCGAGAACTAGAGAAGGAAGGAAGAGTGTTTTGTGCGAGCGGTGGAAGAATCCCCATCATCGCCGTCAGCGCCAATGCAAGGCCGGAGCAGATGCAAGACGCCAAAAGCGCGGGGTGTGACGATGTGCTCGTCAAGCCTTATCGGATGCCGGAGCTAATCGAGAAGATGCAAGTGGTGGTCCGGCGAATGGGGGGTCTTTCACCTGGGTCGCCTTTACGATAATGAAAGCCAGGGCTGCCTATTAGAGAGGCGGAGGAGGGAGCGGCGAACAAGCATTACCGGTCACATGGATAACCAAGGGCTGGTGATCCTGCAGAGACGGGTACGGCGTTTAGGTAAAGGGGAGCCACAGCAGGACTGGGCTCGGGAATGAGGACTGCTTCCGGAGTTTAGTCTGGTCACACTTGGCTGTGTGTCATGTGGTGTATGGACGAACAGAGATACCAAAAATGGCCTTGGATGCTGGGCGACAGGAAGACTCCAGACGTTAGATGTCATACGGGCGAGAGAGACTTGGCATCGGATGGCGTTGATCGGCGGAGGGCCTAGCCATGTCGATGGATTTGGGAAGAAAGACTGGCTTAATTCAGATAGGAGGTAGAAGGGCAATTATGGAATGTGATTCCTTGGCGTCTGTCGCCGAGGTCAATCTAATGGGTATTCGCCAACGTAGACGAACTAGACGGAGAGAAGAAATAATACCTCGGATGTGAACGTTCCAACCCCATTTCGTTATATGGAGCAATGCGGACATCACGCACCTTGCTTCAGACTCGTCGCCGCGGGTAAACCCTTCACAGGCACATACTTGCACCTGAGACTAGGTCATTTGTGCCTCTGCGAGCTTACTGTCCTCCCATGCGGGATTAGCCACCCAGCTTGACTGTTACTGGCCTAGGTCGAAGAGAGTCAATTTTCGTTGTGCTGGGAACATGATCGACACGGTTTAGACACTACATGTTGCTGCTTGAGGACCAAGTAGCCTCGGGCTGCGGAAGATTGCGAAATTTCAGAATTTCAAGTGGCTATCAGGTGAGGTTGTCGGGACGGTCTCCATGTCAAGGTTGCCAAGGAAAGAGTGAAAGGGAAGAAAGAGTATGAGACGAGACGGAGAAATTCGTAATTGGTCGGGATTTTTGGGGGCCGCCCGCCCGCCGCCGGCGATGCACTCCTTGAATGGGTGCAGGGAAGCGGTTTGTGTCACGGCCCCACTACCTTATGGATGCCGCGGGGCTTGGCCGATGGTAAAGTGGTTCATGGAAGAAGATCCGGTTCGATGTAATCTGATGTACGCTTCTCTTTTTTACAAGAATGGGTAACATACCAAGTAGCTAGGTAAGGTAGGAAGGCCGGAGTGATTTGGGGACCTAGGTACGGAGTAAAGTAGGTGCCGTGTTGTGTGAAGATGGCGTTACGCAGGTCGGGTACGGGCAGCAGGGTGTCCGGGCCGACGCGGGCTTTTTGAGGTATGAGAAGATGTTCAAGTGGCCATTATGAACTTTGGAGGCTATCTCATGTGTCCCTTCAGTCTTTTTGCGTTCTACGGGGTAGGTTTTGCCCATCTTTTGGAACATAGCATGAGACTAGATATAGATAGTACTCCGGTTTGACATGTGAGATGACGGGAAGGGTCTTGCAATGCAAATGGGCTTTCGCCGAGATGATGGAGCTGTTTGTGAACTATCTTGCGTACGGGCTTATGCATGTCATCTCAGCACTAATTACTCTGGTCAATGAAGTGCTTGTGTGTAATCAGACGATGGGGTTTTGTTCTTCAGTTCTCGAGGCCCGCTCGCGGCGGAGGTTGCCCGGGGACGGGAGCTATTGCATTTGGCCTGGGGAAGGTCCGTGGCTTGTTATCTGAGGTTCCTGCCCGAGCTTCTTTTTTCTCTTCTTTTTTGGAGAGGCACTCAGGTCGGTGCTCGAGCTACCGCCAGGAAAGAGCAATCGACGAGAAGGCATGACTTGTGTCTCGTCCTCTCCCTTGCTTCCAATTCCCCGAGACATGCTCTTTCTGCAAATCTAAACGGACAATGCCTCAGCCGTACCATCAGAGGTGGATATATGGTAGGTTCGATTTGTAGTGTAAGATTGGGGGAACGAGGGGAAGTACCTTACCCCTCCCCCCACCAGGTCAGGTACCTCCGCCTGCGTCGCGGGCAAAGCTCCTGCATGGCGCTATCCCCCCCACACCCCTCATCCGAGTGTGCAAGAGACGGAGCTCCCACCCGAACCTCACTTTCCCTCTGCTCACTGCACTCACAAACAACCGTCCCTGCGCAACGCCGTCTTCAACCGATTACCTGCATATACCGGACCTGACCTTGCATACAGCTTACCTACTAGTCAACCGGACTACCGAATATAAACTCTCCGCAAAGCCTCCTCCTCCCCCTTCGACGCCTCTCATTCTCTTCCCTCAAATGCCCCCAAACTCCACGCTTCTCCTAAGCTCATTCCAAAAGTTGCCCCGCCTTCGGCTCCGGAACTCCATCCTCAACAGCAGCACCCCGCCATCGTCTTCCCGGTCTTGCGCCTTTGGGTCTTTGTGCTCACCTACTACACCGACGACATCGACGAATACTACCCGCCGAGTAGCCATCTACGACACACGGCGACAACAACCATCCCAAAACCGCCGATTCTTCGCAACCGGCGCCGATCGTCAAGGACGAAACGTAGTACTACTCGGACAAGAAGTGGGCGTCGAGAGAATCACAGACGAAATGGCGGACCGGATTCACCGCGTGACCATGTTCAAGATTGCCGACGAGGGGCAACAGAAGCAGTTGATTGAGCAGTACAAGATTTTGGGGGGCTCGCATAAGAAGGTGTGTTCCATTTTTTTCCACCCATTTCTTTTCCTTCTTGTTATTGCCGTTGGTTTGTTGTGTTCGTGGCTGCGTAACGGGGATGAGGATGGGGAGGGTGAGCTTTTGGTCCATCGGATCCCGGCACCCGTAATTCGGCCCCACCATAGCTTGTCCGCGCCGACGACGGTTTCCTGGGCGGTTTCGAAAGACGGACGAAGAAAGCGCATGTTGGATTTCCACATCTCTACGGCTTTACCATTCGGCTTTTTATGAAATCACACTCCCCCCCCCCCCCAAAAAAAAAAAAAAAAACAGGACTAAAACTGACGAAAATCCACCAGGACGGAAAGCCGTACATCCTCTCCATGGTCGTCGGACCGGCCGTCGACGACCCGCGAGCCCAGGGCTTCACCATTGTCGCAAAGACCGAGTTCGCCTCGCTCGAGGACATGAAGTACTACGACGACGAGTGCGCCGCTCACGGCGTTCTCAAGTCCTTTGTCAAGGGCAACCTCACCGTCGGCGGCGTTATGTCCGTCTACTTCAAGCCTGAGGCCGTCTCCGTCTTGTAGATGTGTTTTTTTGTGGCGGTTGAAGGAGGCTTTGGGTCAATGGGAAACCCAGAGGGTATTCGGGATGGTTACGTGACAAGGGGAATCCATTGAGGGTCGAAAAGAGAAACCTGTGATTTCCCGGTGTCTCTCTGGTGTAGTAGAAAGTTATTCCAGAAGAAAATGTCAAAAACTCCTTGTTGCCGGTTATGGACAGGTATCAAGCTACTTTGCATACATGGAATTCCTCCCCTCCAATCCTGAAACACAATCATCAATTCCTCCCCTCATCTTCAGTTGACCTTTGTTGCCTCGAACCATTGTTTTTTATCCATTTCTTTTTTTTTCTCTCTCCTACAGAGCTGACGATTGACAATCGGCTCTGCAATAAAAACCACTTACAGCCCGGGATATGAGACAAGGAAATAAGCCGCATCACCGACAAAATCGACAAGAGAAAACAGACAAAGACCACAACACGCACACACGCGAAGCTACAACGATCACGAAGCGGCGGCAACAGCAGGAGCGGAAGCCGGAGCAGTCGCGGGCGCCGTAGTCGAGGCCGCAGTCGTGGCAGCCGCGTCGGTAGCGGGAGCAGCAGGGGGCTGCGTCAGGGTCCCCTCGGAGAAGTTCTTGAGCCCCTCCATCCAGGCGGCGAAGCCCGTCTCGAGCTGGCCAACCATGGTGAAGCGGAGGACCTGGGCGAGGGGGCCGTAAAAGGTCTCCCAGCAGCGGTACTCTGTGCCGTTGCCGTCCTCGGTCTCGAGGAACTCCTGGACGCGCTCGGATTTCAGGACAAAGGGGGGCACGAGGCCGCCCGTCTTCCAGCAGACGCGGTAGCCCTTGCGGCCGCGGTGGACGGGCTGGGTCTCGCCGTTCGCGACGGCGGTGGAGGGCGCGGCGTGGGTGTACTCCTCGAGCTTGGTGACGACGAGGGCCTGCTTGGTGGTCGTCTTTGCCGGGTCGAGCGTCATGTGGACCTCAAAGGTGACGTGGGTGCCCTCGAGGAGGAGCTCGCCGGGCTGGTTCTTGGCGGCGGCGGAGTCGGCGAGCATGGGCGGGACGGCGAGGCCGGAGGGGCGGGAGACGGTGGCCTTGGGGACGAAGGTGTTCCAGGCCGGGTAGGTTGCCGGGTTGAGGACGGCGGCGAGGACGGCGGTGGGCTTTGCGGCGATGGGGGTGGCGCAGGCGATGGTGAGGACGGCGCCGACGTCGCCGTGGGACGGGGTCGCGAGGGGAGGGGAGACGGGGGTGGGCGTCAGGGAGGTGGGGATGGAGTCGGTGCCCTTGTCGAGGGCCTTTGGCGATTTGGGCTTGAGCTGGTCGGGGATCTGCTTGATCGAGTCCGGGATGGTGATTCTCTGGCGTATGGCCTCCATTGTTGATGATTACTGTTACTGACGGACTTCTTTTCTTGGGGGTATCTCTGGGTATAATGATGGATGGAGAAAATCAAGCCGGTATCACAAAAAAACTTGGTTCAAAAGAGGAAGAAGTTTTGCCGGATGGGTATTTGATGTAAAAGATGAAAGTAAGGAGAGGAAAGACGGCGAACAGAGAAAGGATGGAACGATGGAGGAGGGGGGAGGGGGTAAGTAAAGGAACTCAAAAGTAGGGCGAGAAGGCAAAGAGAGGGCACACAGGTAATAGAAACGGGGGCGATTCAGGTTAGTTGTATCAAATGGACGGGATTGGGCTTTAGACTTCCTGGTCTCGTGAGGAGATGCGCGTCATGGGATGGGGGGGAGGGATGTATGGATGCCGGCGGAGGAGGAGAGAGACAGCAAGAGGAGGAGGGGCTTGACGGTTGGTTGCTCCAGCTGGATGAGGTGTAGGTAGCCAAGGTGTAAGGTGTAGAGGTGTAGGGGGAGGGCAGCAGAGAGCAGGGGAGGAGGGGAGGAGAGAGGGGCTGTGAATCTGTGATCAAACGATAGTGTCGTGAGCGTGATGTGAAGCTGTGGTATGAGGCTGGCCCGGGCCAACGGTCGGGATATAGGTAGGTAGGTGGGTGTGTATGGATGTGTATGGATGTGTGAGGTGAGGTATGTTTGTGTGATCGCTATGGTGTGTCGATGAGTGAGATTTGATGTGCGGTGATGGTGGTGAAGGTAAGGTACGTAGGCGTAGGTGTGTAGGTTGCCGACAATGATGAGATTGGCGACCGCCGACGGGCGATTTTTAGTGGGAACTTGCGCCAGCGAAAACCGATGGAGAAAGTTGGGGAGTCGAGGACGTACCTAGCTTGACGGCCGCCGCGGTCCGGATCTGTCCATTTTCGGGTCCAGGCCGCCCCCCTTCAGGTCTACCCTCCCCGCTTTGAGTCCGGGGGACAGGGGGTATCGATGACTCCACCACGCAGGGATGAGGCGGGACGAGGCGGGATGGAGGGGTTGTTCTTTTCGGCGACTATCCACGGAGATCCGGATCGGATATGGTATTTACATAGTACTGATTACCCAATTGTCGATTGACGATGAGGAGCGAGTTTCGGCTCATCCTCTTTTCCGACATTTTTTCATCTTCCAACATGCAATCTCTAACACGTATGAATGGATATCCGAAAGGGCAAGCTCAGAGTGACTTGGCGAATGAAATTCAAACGCGAAAGGCGATCTTGTGCCCAACCCGGCAACCTCCATCAGCATGAAAATACCAGTATATGCCCTGCTCGCAACGGGTCTGACACGTGTAAGTGCAATGGAGAACCAAGTCAACTGGCTGAGGTGCAAAAAGCAAACCGACCACCCAACTTCCGCCCAGCTCACCAACGTATACAAGGAAGGAGCCTGTGTACTCTTGCGCATAAATGATCGAAGCAAACCCTTTCCATGACGAGGGAACCGAAGTATCCACCCGTTGGGCGCCGATTATCGTTCGTTGGTCTCTGCCAACGGCTTTCTTGCGCGCAATTCAATGTGGAGGACGAGGGGGGATATAATAAGGCACCACTTAATTCGATGAGGACAATGTGAGAGGAGGAGGAGGGGTCCTAGGGAAGACCAGATGAGACGGGGCTCTTGGGCAAAGCTGGCGAGGCTGAGAGGAAGGGTTCGAGCGCTGGACTTTTGGGGAGTTTCGCCTCGTTTTCGTCCTTGGTCCTTTTGTTGGCTGCGTTGGTTCTCCCATTGAGTTCCAGGGATGGGGGGTGTAAGGTGCCACGGTGCGATCTCTTTACATCAAAGCAAAGCAAAGGTGAAGAAGAAGAAGAAAAAAGTGCCATAGCTCGGAAGATGGAGTAATAACGTACTGCGTACACGGAAAGGTAGGTATTTCCAGAGAGGAGGGGAAAAGTCGCCCCATCTTCAAACCCAATCCCTTTTCCTCTTCTCAAACTACCAAGTTTGACGCCCTTTTCCGGCCGGCCGTTTCGTTGTCGGCCTAGAAAAAGCCATAGCGTTCGAGGTTGGCAGCCTGAGCCGATCATTACAATTCCAGGGAGACTTTTTTTCGAATTCTTCTTAAACGGTACTTTAGTTCTGCAAAAAAGGAAAATTGAAAAAGAGTCAAGCAAATCCAGTCAAGTTTACAACATGAGTAAGGGCAATAAGGGTCGGAAATTTTGAAAATAGTCAGGGTTCGAAATGAACCATTTGTTCGTTCTTCTCATCTCGCAAGCCCTCCGCGACAAAATCCGTGCTCTAGTTACAAGAAATAGGTGTCACACACAGAGACCGCGCGCAGGAACCATTGTCTCGGTTCCAAAATCCCAAATCCCAAATCCCTCCCCTGACCTCCCCTTCTCCTTCTATCCGTACATCCACCAAGTAAGCAACTCACTGAATCAAAGACAACGTCTCAAAACCACTTCTCCTCCCGTCCAGGTCCACGTCCACATCCACGCGCCAAACCACCACACACAATCGCCGTCACACCGTTGACACGAGCCATGTCTTGGTCGCCTGAATGGAAAATCAGAAAAAAAGCACGAGGCAGAAGGCGAGTTGTGCGCTCTTGTCTGAAGATGGAGGCCCCTCAGTGACTCATATCTCTGATCTCGATGGATGTGGGACAAATGCCGGCTGGTCAGGGAGATGAGTATCAAATTCTTCTATTTTGAAAAAGACCTTATGCGGCGGCGCCGTGGAATTAGTCACTTTTCGATGCTAGATTCGCATCGCGAGACGCACATGCCTCAAAATCGGAACCGGTGGGGACAAGCTGCGTATCTCTTTCCATTAGGCGCATCCACCCGAACCCGCTCATGTCAGATCCATGGAAATGCTACTAATATTTGATGGTATCAATGCAATCAACCCGCATGACGTATCACAAGAAGCGCGAAAAGAGTATTGATAGTGAACAGTCTGTCTTTTGTCGAAACTTTGAACCGCCTTGAAGGAGGCGAAAACTACTCTACATACACCAGAAAGTTCCTAAACCATGATGCAGTTGGACGCTTGCGACCAAGCCTGCCCGAAATGCTTACGAGAATAATAGCGCATAGGAGCGCGAAAGAACAATACCTCCCTATTCCTTAGCCGATGCCCCCCCGGTTGACGCCTTATAACTCCCTGAAAGAAGCAGATCCTGGTTTTCCGATTCCCTGAAATTGGATATTCCCATGAAGCTATATGACCGTGTTGGACAATGCGTTGACCATGAAGTCTAGGCTGTGCGACCGTGGACAGTAGCCGAGGCGGCTGAGTGACCAGAGCGAACACTGGCCATGTCGCTCATCTCGGTGCCGTCGTGGTCGTTGCCTTCCTGCTGCAGGCGTGTCTTATTGGCTTGCTGCGCATGACCTGTGAGAAGGGTGATGGATCTAGGTTCCTTCTCCCAAGTAAAGACGGCGGCGACCACCATTATGGCGCAGGCGGCGATCATGAAGATAGTCTGGTCTCTGAAGGAGTCTGCGTAGACATGCTTGACGAGGTTTCTGAGGTGCGAGTTCCACGCGGAAGATTGGGTTGGAGAGTGGGCCAGAGTCTCGCGTTCAGACGGAGAAAGATGATCACTGAGAATTTCCACGCGCGCGTTGAACATAGCAGTGCAGATGGCAACACCAAGACAACCGCCGAGGGCGCGAGCTTGAGCGAGAATTCCTTGGGCGACGGCGTGTTCCTTAGTCGATTCCGCTTCGACGCCAGAGAGAATGGTCGTGGAGCCAAAGTTGAGGCCGACGCCCAGTCCGAAAACGAGCGTGAATCCGTACGCAGGAGCAAAGTCCGCCTGAGCGTCGACGACCATAAGCATAAGACTGATACCGAGGACTTGCGCAATCGACGCGACAGTCATGACGAGAGCCACCTTGTTCGATTTGGAGTTCACCGCTCCAGCAACGAACGATCCAACTGCGCAGGCTCCAAGCATAGGCAACAGGTACATGCCGGACTGGAGAGGGCTCTTCTGCGCAATCACCTGCATGCGTTCCGGGATAATGACGGTGAGGGCGACATAGGGGAGTCCTGTGAGGAAGGTAACGGCCAAGCCGCACATGAAGGGCCGGCGTCGAGCAAGATGTACCGGAAAGACAGGCTCTTGATGCGAGCACCGCAGATGGTCGATTAAGAGGCAGCGATTTCGGTATAGGTAGTTCTCGAAGATGCCAAAGATACCCCAGCAAGCCCCAGAGCACACGAACATGACGATGACGGTCCAGTGGTCCCAACCGTAGTATGTGTATCCACCACGCTCGATAGCGACAACCAGAAAGGCCGAGCCAAAGAAGAGAGTGGTCATACCAACCACGTCAAGCTTCTTGAATGCCGTCCAAGAGTAAATCTTGAAGGCCTGTCGGTCTTTGGGGTAGGACAAGACGAGGCAGGCCACAGCGAACACACCGATGGGAATGTTGAGTCCAAAGATCCAGCGCCAAGTAATCTTGGAGACAATGACACCGCCCAAGATGGGGCCCAGAAGGAAAGCCGCGGCGAGAGTGATTCCGATGATGCCGCCCATCAGAGCTGGGTTGTGGGCAGGACCTTGCTCAAGCAGACAGGTCTGGGCGAGGCTGTACAAGCCTGAGCCTCCGACGCCCTGAAAGGCGCGGCCGATGATCAGGAGCTTCATGCTTTTCGCGCCCGCACACAGAGACGAGAAGATGACGAAGACGGCCCAACTGTAGAAGAGCATGGTTCGGCGACCGTAAATGTCACTGCACTTGGCAATTCCGACAGCGCAGCCCATGTAGGTGAGAAGGTAGGCCAGAAGGACAAAGGAAGCGTGCTGGTGGTCGCCAATCTCCTCAGAGATGGCAATGAGGGAGGTGGCAATGATGGACGTATCGAGAGTAGCGAGGAACAAGCCAACGAGAAGGCTATCTGGTCAGCTGGGTTCGCGAGAACGCTGCAATTCCCTTACCTGAAGACGATCAAGACTCTCTCAATCGTAGGCTGGCGAAGGCTGGCAGCGGGATACTCCGCGCCACGACGGGGAGCAAAATTCGCGACAGCGAAGCCAGCGGTATCGCCCAGAGACGGATTGGGGTAGGAGAGCTGGTCAGCCATCTCGCGACGAGAGGGAGACTGGGCGGCCATTGCTGCGATGATTTTGACAATGGTTGGCGGCGGTTTTATTGTCGTCAGAGCGGAATAGAGTAAGGTTGACGGTTGTCTTATCCTCTCAGGGGCAGAAGATGGAAAGACGCCTTCGAATCTTACCGATGGCAATATTCGAAGCTTGATTTTAGCTTGTCTCGAAGAGATATGGCGATGAGGCAAAGGTTTTCTGAAAAGTAGAGGGGAAAGAGAGGGATTGTGTGGGTGTGATATGGGGAGAGAAGGCGTTTGAGTCAAGGAAATCTGGTTGAGGAAGGTTTCTGAGGATACCTGGCTGCTCTCGCCTCAATGGGTATAGGGGCTAGCTTGTTTTCCCTGATGGATAGGGAAAGAGAACCAGTAACAAGACAGTGATCAGCCTTGTACCTGCCTGTCCTGAGGGCCTTTGCAGAGTTGGTTGAGGAAGGTAGACGTGGGCCTTGGCTGATAATTGAACTGTTGGTTACCTCGACGATGCAACAACAAGGCAGGTGGTGTGAGGAGGAAAGGAACACTTTGAGGGTACGTGTGTGCGTGTGTATGTGTGAACACACATCCCTCTTTGGTGTGAGGACTTGAGCGGCAGCAAGGAACAAACGAGGTCAACAGCTGCCCATCCTCTCCAACTTGGACAGTGGCCGCAACACATAGTTATACTGACCGCAGCTCTTTACCCTCATGTTGACAGTAGAAGAAGAGCACCAGATGCGCCTATCCATGATGCCCGAGACAGTGGTTTTCCTAGAGGCTTGCTCATCCAGCCTAGGCCAGGGTGAAGATGAGATCTTCTCTGACAGTTCCACCTAGGGTAGGCGAAGACACGGACAATGACGGGTGCTGTGCAAGGTAGGACAAACAACTTGAAAGAGTCAAGACTGTGAAGCATAGTTGTGGCAGTTGTTCGCGTGCCCTGTGCCCTGGCCTCGCTCGGCTGTGGTGACGAAAACATCATGTTCCAAGACAAAGGCTTTCTTGCTTGAGAATGGAGGCCGAGGAAAAGCCAGGGGCAAGATGGTGACTGCGCATCCCATCAGAGGGGAGAAGGCAAGCCATTGGTAGGATGTGTCAGGCAAATGTCCCAATTGCTAGTCTCTCAGAAGTAGAAGAGCTGCCACTAGGGTGACAGAAACAGGTCCCGTTGTTGTACAAACCCCAGAACTCTTCAGCATTCGAGGCCGTGGCATTTCGTAAATAAGCCACTCAAGTCCCCGACTGGGGTGGGGGAAATTTATATCAAGCAACACTGTTTGACTCTGAGCCGGTGCAACGGAATATCGGCTGGCTGTCTCCGGTTGATGCCAGAATCCGACAGTACTACCTTGTGTACATTCAGCTCTGTATTTTCAGAGTAACAAGACGAAAAGAGAGAGGAAATCGCAGCAGGAAAACGAAGTGCCTACCGGATCTGTGTATCCCCGACCGACCTCCCGTCTGCACCACTAGCTCTGCACGCCCCATTTGGGACGTTGTGTTCCCAGATGCCTCGTGGTTGAGTCGCCATCGTCCTACCCACTTGGATAGGAACAGATGCACAGAGGGCCACCAGCACCCGACTCTGCATTTTCAAATGTTGTGTTCGATCCATCAGTCGAAAAACGCAATGGAAGAAAGGTCGCTCGTTTGAAAGCTTGAGAGCTGCGAAGTGAGGTCATGGGCCACGCTGCTTAGCCGAACAACTTTTGGTCCGGCCCGTGTGCGACCTCGCCTGGCATTCCCTCAATGGTTGCTGCAGCGCTGGGCGACAACGTTTTCGGCAGCATGTCCTTGTCAAAAACTGGGGGATCTGTAAAGAGAGGCATGTTGAAGCGCTTTGGCCTGCCAAGATGGTGTGTATCACAGATACTAGGGGTCGAGCTCCCCTCGTCTTGATTGATGAGGGTTGTACACCTGCTTGTGGAACATCAAGTCGGTCCCAAAATGGTTCGATTGGCCAGACCGGGCAAAATGGTCTCGTTGTGTCAATTTCACCGTCAACTCAGCTCCATTTTGAACTGTCGTACAGGCTTTGAGTGTTTCGTCAATCGAGATGGTGCGGCCTCTCAATGGACATTCCGCCACATGAGATCACATGAGATCCTATGAGATGGTTGGATGTGTGTAGGCATGATCAACTTCAAAAGGAAATGAAACTAACAATGAGCAGCATGAATGGAGGCGCTCGAGCCATGAAAGATCCCTGACTTCGTGTGTGAAGTCGGAGCGGAAAATATGTTCGGTCCGAGATGCCCTTGGCTGAGCCTCTGAGGTGTGGTATGAATGGGACTGAACTGGACTTCATCCGTGCCTATAGTGGAAACTTGGCAAGCCCATGATACGATAACTGTACCCGGTTGACATTCTTTTCATTAGGCATAATCTCATACTTAATGTTCCATTTACAAGTCTTCTCAGGCCAATTCCCAGGAGGCGATGTTTATCTATATTTCCCTGTCCTCGTGAACGATGTTTTTGGTCTCATTCTCTGCTTTGCTCGATGTTTCCCATTCAACGACGGTGGAAGCCTGGAGCCAACATATCTCAAATGGGTTCCTGCATATGAAAACACGCTACACTTACGACAATGTCGGTCTGACACATTGTAAATATCATCGCCCAGAGATCTGATTTCAACTTCTTCGAGAGGTCGATGAGAGGCCAGTCCGCTCGAGAGACTCTTGGAACGGAGAGCAACACGAACCTAACATCAAGCTGGCGCCAAGTCTCCGGAACATCGGACCTTCATATGTACGGCCGCGTCGGTGAGTACTGCACAATGTCCTTGGGCGAGCTACACTCCTGTCAATGCCACCAACCTTGTTCGACACGTCAACGTCCCCGCCCAACGAAATGATCAGAAATAACCGGTTAGCTGCTCCATCGTGGTTTGTCAAAGCTCCCCGGTCTTCTCATCGTCGGAAATCAGATCGCTCGGCCTCTTCTATCCAGTCTCATCCGCTTCTCTTTTTTGTACTCGCACCGAGACCGCGCGGCTGGCGATCCAGGCCCTCCTGAGGATTGGGCACCACCACGAGGAAACGGGTCAAATTGACTGTGTTATGCATTTTCTCTGCCCGGGTCATACCGTCAAACCTCCGTACAGCCCCTCAGAGCATGGCACCATTGGCAATCAGTAGTCGTGGCAAAACGAGCACGAACATCGTGACAGGTTGGCACTGACTCGGGATCTATCTTCTAGCCAAATCTCTTCCACCGGCTGTCCTACAACCATTAACAACTACTGGAGCACACGCCAGCCTGATACTGTATCGATCCAGGGAAGGAATATGTGCTACTACCGTCATCCCCCCTACAATGGAGTCGTAGCATCGGTGCTCCTCAAAAGTTCTGTTTGCAACATGCGGTAAAGAGATGGCCCATGAGGGCCATACCAGCGTCCAGCGGAAGGATTCCAGGATCGGTGGTTGTTGTTCTCCTACGTACATAACTTTATGCCATGTTGGAGATGTTCTTGCGGCCCCCTAGGGCTGATTGCATGCCAAAGTGGGCTGCGCCCCATCCCTGTTCTATTTCAAGCAACTAGCTCTATCCTCTTCCCGTCTTCATAGCTTCTCTTGATTTGGCCGTCGGTCTAATTGCAAGAAGCCGTTGATATCCGTGGGCTATGCTTCTGAAGAACCACAATCCAAAGAGGGCCGCATGAGGAGGAGCTGTACCGAATGAAGTTGCCCTTATGATTTTGATACGAAGAGCCAATATCTTCTATGTTAGACGGTATTATGGCTACATTCAAAGGGATGGTTGAAGATTCCCTAAGAAACAAAGACCGTTGATCACAGCGAGTGACGTTCATGCAATTACGTTGGAAGTCATATCATACAAAGAGCCATTCCTGCACCAAAGGATTGATGCTGACCGCCAGGTGAAGTTCTAAGCTTCATGCCGTATGCTCCCGCCCCCGCATATGAGTGGAATAAGTGGATGGACTTGGTAGTGCCTCTGGCACCAAAGGCAGCACGATTTCACCTCCAACTCATATTCACATTTGAATATCAAGGCCGGGACCCCCTTGGTCACCCGCCGTCAGCTGTCCGGTGGCAGAAAAGATTTTCAACTACCCAACTTCACCTTCATTCTTCAGAGATTTCTTTCCTTCCCTTTCCATCCTGTTTTCCAGCCGATTGATACCCTTTTCTTCTTCTGTACCCATCGACCCGGTCACAAAGGAGACAGGATCTTGTTGTCTGAGCTGCCCTCGTACAGTCAGATTCTTTTCGCCTTGCGTCTCCCCTCCTACCACCTCGTCTGTCGATACTTCCCATTGAAGACAACACCTTGGTTGCGAAATCCGTCGAGGCGGGCAAGATGGAAGACATCGCCATCGTCGGCATGGCATGCCGCTTCCCAGGCAACGCGACATCTCCGGAGAAGCTTTGGGAGATGTTGATTGCGAAGGAGTCGGCCTGGTCAGAATTCCCCAAGGATCGTCTCAACATCGATGGCTACTATCATCCAAGTGGTGATCGTCAGGGCAGCGTGGGTTTTCATCTCATCTCGTCCAAATCATTTTGTCATATCTTCAGACTGACCTGATTTACCTAGATTTCGTTCCGAGGAGCGCATTTCATCAAGGATGATGTCGCAGCGTTTGATGCGTCGGTGAGTCCCCATCAGAGACCTCCGGATGTGGAATGCCACTTTTTCTGACACTCTATAGTTTTTCTCCATCATGGCAGAGGACGCCAAGGCCATTGATCCTCAACAGCGATTCCTACTAGAGGTTTCCTACGAAGCGCTTGAGAACGGTGCGTTGGCCCTTAATCTTTCGAATAATTCCGTGCTAACCTGATATAGCTGGTCTTCGCATGGAAGACCTGAAAGGCAGTCCGACTGCTGTCTACGTGGGCTCGTTTGTAAAAGGTTCGTTATTACCTCGCTTCTCTCTCACCTTGCCTTACTGATTGGTCCTAGATTATGAACAAATCTGCCTCAGAGATATGGACTGGCAGCCCCAGTATGCCGCCACGGGCACTGGAAATGCCATCATGTCAAACCGCGTGTCCTACACGTACGACTTCAAGGGGCCTAGTATGACGATCGATACTGGCTGTAGTGGAAGTCTTGTTGCAGTTCACCTCGCCGCCCAAGCTCTCCGAGCTGGCGACTGTTCAATGGTATGAATCCTCCATTACCGTCATCTTGGAATTCGCAGGCTAACTTCTCAAGGCCCTCGCTGCCGGTGCTGGTCTTATCTTCACACCCAACACAATGATGCCCATGACTGCACTCAACTTTCTCAGCCCAGATGGAAAATGTTTCGCCTTCGACTCTCGTGCCAATGGTTACGGTCGCGGGGAAGGTATTGGATTCGTTGTCTTGAAGAAGCTCTCGGATGCTGTCCGAGACAATGATACCATTCGAGCTGTCATCCGTGGCACTCACGTAAACCAAGACGGCCTGACCACAGGTGAGTATTCCACGTTGCGAGGGGACTGGGGGACAAAATTCTGACGGTTTTACAAGGCATCACTCTTCCGAGCAAGGAGGCCCAGGTGGTCAACATCCGATCCCTCTACTCCAAGCACGACCTGGACATGAATCAGACGGCTTTTGTCGAGTGTCACGGGACTGGAACCCAGGCTGGCGACTTTCGGGAGCTTAAGGCCATCTCTGAGACTCTGAGTGACGGAAGGTCGATCGAGAATCCAGTGT